ATGTGTTCAATTTTGAGAATAAATAAGTTTTGATATGGATTAAAGTGCTCTATGGATTTCTGTGGAAAACCTATGAGAAACAGACAAATTTTGAATGTTTTCTGTTTTGACTTATGAGTTTTCTGTTGTGAGCAATAAGACTGACATTACAAGAAAATTATTTAAAATTTGAATTAAAAAAACACAGGCAGCTTGACAATCTCCCAATTATTAAGTTCCATGTTCAGTGGACAAGCGTGAACCAGACTAGCATATTTTTCCTCATGAGAGTATTGCTTAACAACTGCCATTGAGTTTGGAAACTCAAACCCCTCACTTCAACAGATTTCTCGCAGATCACTGATAGGGACCCCATCTATTCCCCTCAACAGAATAACTATCGACCCTCCATGACCTAGTAGAGGGTTGTTCCCAATATTAGGATTATCCTCTTTAAAGTTTAACCACCCAGCCTTAGTCAAACTTTGTACCTTAATTTTTAGTGCTCTGCAATTTTCAAGGGAATGACCAATAGCTCCTGAATGATAATCACATTTGGCATTAACGTCGTATCCCCTAGGATATGGTGGTTCTACGGGCTTCATCAGGCAAGGTACTACTAGTGAATTTTGTAGTAGGAGAGGGAACAACTCAGTATAGGACATAGGGATAGGGTCAAACTCAAATGGTTTCCGATCTTGGGTATTTTGTGATCTCATATGACTAGAGTTTTGGTTCCATGGCTGGGTAAATTAAGGTGGTCGTGCGGTAGGTGTTGCGGGTGAAACTTGCAGAGCTTGATGTATAGGTTGATGAGGATATGGTGAGATGGCAGTGCTATTTGGGTAGGCCATGTGAGGGGTATAAAAATAAGGAGGTTGGTTGGGAACTTGATGTTTATAAGAGGCAACATTCATGGGTGAAACCTCAGGTTGGGTAGGTTGCAACCATGTAGGTGGTTGATTCACCAATGGTTGGTGTTTATCCGGAGGGTCCATGATTGTTGGAGGTGTGTAGTTGGGTGGAAGGCCATATGGTGGCCATTGGACCTCTGGAGGAACAACTTGTTGGCCGGGTCTATTAAGATGTAGAGCTTGTGGTACAGACAAATTTTGAATGTTTTCTGTTTTGACTTATGAGTTTTCTGTTGTGTTCTCTGACGATTATTGAGCATGAATGTATGTTTAATTTTGAGTTTGGATATGTTTTGATATGGATTAGAGTGCTCTATGGTTCCTACCGAAACCCTATGAGAAATAGACAAATTTTGAATATTTTATGTTTTGACTTCTGAGTTTTCTATTGTATTCCCTGATGATTACTAAGCATGGATGTATGTTTAATTTTGAGTTTGGATATGTTTTGATATGGATTAGAGTGCTCTATGGGTTCCTACCAAAAACCCTATGAGAAATGAACAAAATATGAATGTTTTCTATTTTGATGTTTGAGTTTTCTGTTGTGTTCCTTGGTGTTCACTGAGTGTGAATATGTGTTTAATTTTGAAAATATATAAGTTTTGATATGAATTAGGGTGCTCTATTCATGTGAGAAACCCTATAAGGAATGAGATTGTCTTATTATGGTGTTAATGCAAATGTGTATTTTTAAGAGCATGATGAGGATGAAAATCTCTTTTATGTGACCTTGTGATGTTGGAGATGATGGAGATCATTGAGATGACAAGAAGACTCATCAAGAAGTTTTAGTTTTTATGATATAAATGTATAAATGATGTTTGAGCCTATGCAAAAGGATATTGTATTGATTGTAATGGATATAGGCTTGTGTGTGTTTTGTTTATAATTGATGATGACAATGAATGCTTAATTCAAGAACCTGTCAAGTTTTTAAAGAAACCAATAATTTGTTTTTTTAAGTATTTCTATGAGTAAACATAAAGTAATAGATTACCTTGAAAATGGTAATTTACTACCAAGTGTTTAAACATAAAAATATGACTTGATTCAAATAAGAGTTTTCAAGGTAACTTTGTTAATTAAAATTACCATTCAGGGTAATAGATTTCCAAACTTGTTACTGGAAAAGGATATTCAAATGTTCTCTGTGTTAATAGATTACCACGTCTGTTACTGAACATGTTTTTCAAGAACTCTCCGAGGTAACAAATTACAACGTCTGTTACTGAACATGTTTTTCAAGAACTCTCTGAGGTAACAGATTACCAAAGTTGGTAATAGATTAAAATAGAGTCTCTTGCTTGGAATCAGGCTAAAAAAATGAAGTTGTTATCATGTTAATTGATTACCACAAGAGATAATCGATTACCACAGAATGAAAGGCAATTCTAGGACTTTATAAACACATGATAATCGATTATCCCTAGAGATAATTGATTACCCTGGACAATTTTATGTTTCTAGTTCAATTTTAAAGAGCAAGTAACAGATTACCATCACAGGTAATAAATTACTTCTGTTATTACTTTTTATAACTGGATCACGTCTTGCACTTTATAAAAACAATTTTTTTGAAATTAAAAATAATCTTTTAGAGAACTTTTAGAAATCTTCTGAAAAGAAAACATTTTAGAAAGGAATACTTTCAGAAACAATATTAAAGTGTTACCAAATTTTTTTTTTGAAATTTAAAGAAGTACAAAGACTGAACATGAATTATTGAAAGAAGAAATTCAAGAACTGTATTCAAGAGTGAAAGATCAATATCTTCACAGAATTAGGTGATATTACTATGATCTTTAAACTTGTATTTTCGTTTTGATTGATGTATCTCTTGAGATAGGGTGTCTCAACAAGAGATTTTTAAATTTTGAGTAGGATTTCTTAAATAATTTCTGTGGGGTACAAAATTTTTGATTGTTTTCAATCTTGGGATGTCAAGATTGATATTTGTTTGAATTCTTGTAATATTGTGTGTGCAAGGTCTTTGTAAAACAATATTATAGTGACTGATCTTTGGTTTAATGGGGTGCTAAATCAGGGAAAACTGGATGTAGGTCAAGTGGATGGCTGAACCCGTATAAATTTCTGTGTTCTTTATCTTCTTACCCTTATCTTTAAGAATCTTGTTGATTTCTTGTTTAAAGATTTTAAAGATTTGTGAAAAACAAAATTTCAATTACAGTTGATTACTAAGCATGGATGTATGTTTAATTTTGAGTTTGGATATGTTTTGATATGGATTAGAGTGCTCTATGGGTTCCTACCAAAAACCCTATGAGAAATGAACAAAATATGAATGTTTTCTATTTTGATGTTTGAGTTTTCTGTTGTGTTCCTTGGTGTTCACTGAGTGTGAATATGTTGAATATGTTGATCAAGAAGGTGCTTTTTGGCTACCTTTTCACACTACAGAGGTGTCTCACAGATCTCAAGCAATACAGAAGAGAGGGGGAGAGAGAAAGAAAAAAAATTTGAGCTCTGAAGAGTATTGGACAAAATTTTTTCGGGGGCCTGAAAACTGTGCCCCAGACGTCTATTTATAGGCGTCAGACCTGACTCAGAACGGCCCGTTCCAAAATCGGAACGGCCCGTTCTGGATCATACCGTTACAAGCAAAATGTGACTCTGGAACGGCCCGTTCTAAACGTGCAACGAGCCGTTCTGAAATTTGGAACGGCCCATTCCACGTAAGGAATTTTGGATCCTTTCAGTCACTTAGAACGGCCCGTTCCAATATTGGAACGGCCCGTTCTAAACTAATAACTGCTCGTTCCCATCTTGGAACGGGTGTTCCAAATTAGGGTTGTTGTATTTTTTTTCTAACGTGGAACGGCCCATTCCGAATTTGGAACGACCCGTTTTGGGTTACATAACATTTTTTTTATTTAAAAAAAAAACTTTTTTTTTTAGTCCGAATAAAATTGATTATTCACACTAGATATGCCAAAATCTTGGCTCGGATTACTACGCAATTTCATTGGTAGGGCATCCATAAATTTTTGAAGTATTATGTTCAAGATTGCCTTGTCTGTCAACAGGCCAAAATTGCCACAACTACCCCTACAGGGTTGCTACAACCCCTGCCTATTCCAGAGCAAGTTTGGGAGGATGTTGCTATGGATTTCATTACGGGGTTGCCCTTGTCCCATGGTTATACAGTCATTATGGTGGTAGTAGATCGATTGTCCAAATATGCCTATTTTTCTGGTTTAAAGATTGATTATTCCAGCAAGAGTATAGCTGAAACATTCATGGATTCAGTGATAAAATTGCATGGGTTTCCCAAATCCATAGTTTCTGACCGAGACAAAGTTTTCACTAGTCATTTCTAGCAACAGTTGTTGAAATTGAGTGGCACTTCTTTAAACATGTCCACGACCTACCATCCACAGTTGGATGGTCAATCAAAAGCTGTCAATTAATGCCTTGAGATGTATCTGCGATGCTTCACATTTGATAATCCTAAGGACTGGAATAAGTTACTACCATGGGCTGAGTTTTGGTATAACACTGCTTATCATACTAGTATTGGTATGACTCCTTTTCGGGTGGTGTATGGTCGAGACCCCCCGTAGTTATTGCGATATACTCCTAATTCTCAGGATTCAGTTGTTGTTCAGGATCAACTTGTGCTTCGTGATGCTACCTTAGCCGAGTTGAAGTGCAATTTACAAAGAGCTCAGCAGGTTATGAAGAAGAATGTAGATAGTAAAAAGGTTCCTAAGGAATTTGCTATTGATGATATGGTTTTGGTGAAGCTTTAACCTTATAGGAAACACACTATTGCTTTAAGAAAAAATCAAAAGCTAAGTTTAAGGTATTTTGGGCCTTTTCCTGTGGTGGAACAAATTAGTGCTATTTCATATAAGTTGTTTTTGCCTTCTTCGACCAAGATTCACCCAGTGTTCCATGTTTCACAGCTTAAGCTTTGTCATGGAAATCATAATCAACCTTATGTTCCCTTACCACTCACTACTAATGAACAATTTTTAGTTATTCAGTCGTGGCTATAATGAAGGATCGTGTTATTTTGAGAGGACAACAACAAATTTCACAGTTTTTGATTCAATAGGAAGGTCTGGATGATTCTCAAGCAACATGGGAAGACAATGGGAAGACAAGGATGCCATGGAAGTTGCATATCCATCTTTCAACCTTGAGGACAATGTTGTTTTTAAAGGGGAAGGAATTGTAATGAATGAAACTAGTGAGGGACCTGCATTAGTGTCTATGCAGTAAGGGGTAGGATTTGGACACGTGGCAAATGATCATCGTGAGGCTGTTAGCAGGAGAAGCACATGCGTGAAGATCAATAATTCTAGGTTACGTGGATTTCAGTATTGATGGTTGGGGTATAAGTATTCTATTAGAGGAGAGAGAAAGGCAGGCAAGAGTAATTCTAATTTCTCTTCATTTGGATTTTTTTTCGGTACGGAAACATTCTTCTGTTATTACAAAGTAATTCTGTTGCTACCTGGAATTGTTTTGTCTATTGCCTTTTGCATGATTCAGCAATAATACATCGGTGCATTGCTATCATTTACATTACATAATTGGTTCCTCATTTTGTCACGTATTTTGATCATTATAGATTTGGTTATATGAAGTTGTAAATGTACTTCATGTTGGTGTTATTTTATAGTATTTGTCTGATGGAATATTTTATGAGAGTTATTTTTTATAAGGTTATTACACGATGAGATATTGTCCGCTTTGGGCTTAAGCCCTCACGGTTTTGCTTTTGGTCATCACCTAAAAGGCCTTTCAATGGTTTTGCTTTTGGTCATCACCTAAAAGGCCTTTCAATCATTGAAGTATATTTATGCTGTTATTTCTTGATACCACTATTGCGGTTATTTCATGTATTTGTCTAAGGGAATATTTTATGAGAGTTATTTTTATAAGATTATTACACAAACATATTCTACAATAATGAGATATTGTCCACTTTGGGCTTAAGCCCTCACGGTTTTGCTTTTGGTCATTACCCAAAAGGCCTATCAATCATTAGAGTATGTTTGTGTTATATAAGTTGTTATTTTTTGTCTTATTTTATCAATGTGGGACTTGTTTGTATCCCAACACTTCATTGGACTGGCTTGGAGGCATGATTTCTCTTAAGGAATTACAAATCTGGGGATGCAGCGATTTGAGGGAACTACCGAGTAGCTTTCAACGTCTCACCATCTTGGCTAGATTAAGTATTGAGGATTACCCTCAGCTGGAGAAGCGGTGCAAGAGCGAAACAGAGCGAGATTGGCATTACATAAATGCTTTCAATTCCTGGAACTTGCACGTTTGGTGATAAATTTCGTGTTTTCTTTTCTCCTTAAATTGACCATGAAAAATTGCATCCAATCTTTTGCAGTGTTAATGATTATGTTTGAAAATATTGCTTGCAAAGTGTTCATTCTTCTAGAAAGTCTTCAACAAGATTGGAGTATAGTTTACCATAGACTTTTGGCCAGATGATCCTCCGACAGGCAGATTTGACAGAATGGTTGAAGGGTGAGTCATGTCCAGGTTCTGTCTGTTCCTGGGATGTATTTCAACAAGCTCATGCAAAGCACAAGTTTTATTACTCTAGTTATATTATAAGCAGCCCTCCCCTATTTGTGGATAGTAGTTCTTTAAGTAAGTCTGAAAATACCTGAGCTAAATAAATTTATGAAAATGCAGATTTCAGTTTTTCCTTTCATTATTAATGTGATTCACCAATAAGAGTTAATCTTTTCTTCATTTTTTTGTTTGTTTCAATCCATCACCTTTTACTTTATGTAGCCATAACTGATAATAGTAATTTTTACTTTCAGCGACTGATGGATTCTATTTATGGTAATAATTAATTGGGACCTGCTATGATACCCATGAAAATTGAAAGGTTTTAGTACATCAAATTATATAAATAAATAAATTTTAAAAAATAAATTCAAAATAACATAAATTTTAGATTAAAAATTTGTATAAGAAGAATCAATCAAAAAGACTAATTCAAAAAATAATAATTAAAAGATCAATTTTCATAACAAATTTTGTTTATATGTGACAAAATTAAAAAATTAAAAACAAAAAATATAATAATATTATAAAAATATTAAAATAAAATTAAAAAAAATAATACAACTAAAAAACTAATTTATACTATAAATTCAAAAAAATTATCACTAAAGAAAAACTAAAACATATTAACAAAATATTAATATTAAACTTTTTAATTATAATAGATGCTATATTAAAATATAAATATAAAAATATAAAAATAATATAAAAATAAAAAAATTTATACAGATAAATTATTAAAAATATTAAATTAAAATAAAAATAAAACAAGTAAATATAATAAAAAAAATAAAAAATAAAAAAAATGATTGTTCCAGTACTCCACAATTATGGTGATTACAATAAAATTTCTCTAATTAATTATATGTAATGAGGCTGACTAAAACAGTGTCATGTAAGTTATAACAGAATCTTTAAAAAAGCCAACTTGGTGCCTTCTACAAGTCTTTTTATATTTTGTTAAGATAGCTTCAAGAATCTAAAAGCTATGTCAGAATATTTGTTGGTTAAGGAAGTTATAGTTATAATTGGTTACCTTAATAGTGTAATATGATTAGTTTGTTGGTTAGCGGCGTTAGCCCAATAATCTCTGTAACTAGGAGCGTGTATAATTAATTTGATAATCTTTTAATCAATTAAAATGCTACCTTCTGAGATTGCATCTCTCTCAAATTACTTGGCCTTAGCCTATCATCACTGTACCTTATCTATGCAGCAAGTACCCACAAGCATATGTCAAACACAACATACAGCGCCAAGGCTCTAAAAAACAAATTGAAGGATTTTGCCTTTTTGGTTGACATATTGGGATAAGGAAGAAAACTTAAGATATCAACGAACGTGTGCTCTGAACCACGAAAGGAGCCCATGAAACTGTTCTCTGTTTCAATTTCAATACACCTTTGAAATCAACTTCCATCTTTTTTTCATGGCTTTTTTCTTTTTATCATATTCGAAAATTGAAAAAAAAAAAACTGAAAATTAATGTTTTCAACGTGGACCATGCTACACGGGGCTGATACCAAAAATGAAAAAGGTCAGGGGGTTAGCTGACATAAGCCTATAATTATAGGGCAAAGTGTATTTAACCTAGAAAAAATGTGCTACTAGAGCATTTAGCCATTTACACTAGACTTGAGCACGGGGCAAGTTCGGATGGATTCGGGTTGAAAATATTAAACCCAATCCAAACCGATCCAAAAAAAAAAAATCCATTTTCGACCGTGAACAGTATTTCGGGTTTGTCGAGTTCGAGTTTTTGGGTCTCGGGTTAATTGGATCGGGTTAGTTAGATTGGGCAAAAAAAAAAAGCCCATTTACACTTGTTTTTTTCTCTCCTTAATTCTCACTTCCTACCACTCAAATCCGCCCCACCAAAGGGCGGAGCTTTACATTTTCATCTCAAAAGAATTCAAAACAGCAACTAAGAACTCATATCTCTTCATCTCAAAACAATTCACAACAAACCAAAAACGACAACAATTCTACGAGTATGGCCTTGCCTTCGCACGCAACGAGCTTCAGTTGGAGGACGCGACCTACTTCAACCACGAGTTTCTTCAAAGCATGGGAATCTCCATCGCCAAGCACAGGCTAGAGATCCTCAAGCTGGCGAAGAAGGAGGACTTGGCAGCGAAAACCAGCGCTAACAAGCTTTCTGGGTCATCAAGAAGTGCCTGAGGAAGTGCTTCAGCAAGCTGGTTTCAAAGGAGGATCATCAAGAAGTGAAGGAGATGCCTCCGGAGCCAAACTGGTACCAAGGGAAGTGGAGAAGGGCGAGGCACAATGGGACCATTGCACTTTCAGGGCCTTTGCACTTTCACATGACTACTCTCGCGGCGTTAGGATTTGCAGTTTGCGTGAGCGACGGTTAGGATTTCTGAGCAGAAGAGAAGGTTTCGCGTGAGCAGCGGCGCTTAGGGTTTTTAGGTTTCCTCTCGCGGTGCTACCTTTAAAAGAATAAATATCATACCTTTTAAGTGTTTTGGGTCGGTCGGGTATGGATACTCACGTGTTCAAATTTTTTAACCCGAACCCGACCAACAAAACCCATTACAAACCAACTCTAACAACCCGAAAAACCGGAAAAACTGCCAAAAATCGGCCGAACTAAAAAACTCACCTGCGAAAACTTCGGATTCGGTCGGGGCGAAATTTTCTGCTCAGCCCTAATTTACACTTCAAAGTTCAAAGTTGTTTATAAAATTTGCATCCATTTTAGTATTTTTTTTTTTAGTCGACAGATTTCCATTAGGCAATACTTAAGTGATTCGATGGTTCAATGATTAAACCAAAAGGTTACTTGTTAAACCAGTTTGTATTAAAAATTAAAAAAAATATATAGTTAACATAATTGAAGATAAAAATAATATATATATAATAATGTATTTGTAAAATATAACACGTAGTGATTTTTTAACCTATTGATAATTGTGCTCTATCTTATTGTAGGGGGACAAGGTTCGAAAAATAAAGTGTTTGTTTTTAATTTGTATTATTTGTAATAAAATTATATATTTATAAAATATATAACACAATTGCTAATTAACCTAGTGGTAAGTGTGTTCAATATTAAAATGGAGGGACAAAGTTTGAGTCTCTCCTTATCGTTTTGGTCTAAGGGTAGTTGGTCCAATCCGATTTTAATAATTATTATTTGGTGCGACCGGTTGCAATGTCCCTTCTTACACCAATTATATGTAGACATTTACCTAGTGAGTTCTAATTTTTTAATATTTCATTTTAATCCTAAGGACTTAAGTTTTTACTCTCTAAACCTTTTTCAAATTTATATTTTAGTCTCTAAACAAAATTTTGACTAGTCTTAACCCTATACTTTTCCTCCGATAACTGTTTTTGTCCTCGTCGTTAAAAACATATGTTAAGTAATGACGTAGCATATGTTGTGGATAATGTCAAATACAGAATTTTTCACTGATATAGAATTTTTTTTTAAAAAAATTACTAAAAAGGCATATGTATAACTTTATTTACGCATCTAGCACCATTTACTGTACACACTCAAAATTCGGTTCCCGGGAAACCGAATTCTGAGCTTCAAATTTATTTTTTTTTGTGTTCAGAATTCGATTCCCGGAAAATCGAATTCTGAGTAAGTTTAAATTTATTTTTTTTTGTAATTTGTGGCCTAGTTTATGCGAATCTGGGAAGTGGAACGGCCCGTTCCGGAAGCAGAACAGGTCGTTCTACTTGCACACATAGAGTGGTATTTTTGAAAGTAGAACGGACCGTGCTGCTTCCGGAACGGGCCGTTCCACTTTCAAAAATATCACTCTATGTGTACAAGCAAAACAGTCTGTTCTGCTTCTGGAACGGACCGTTCCACTTCCCAGATTCGCACAAACTGGTTCACAAACCCAAAAAAAAATAATTTAAAACTACTCAAAATTCGGTTCCCAAAAAAAAAATTTGAAGCTCAGAATTCAGTTCCCCGAAAACCGAATTCCGAGTGTGTCCAGTAAATGGTGCTAGATGTGTAAATAAAATTGTACAGATGCCTTTTGGGTAATTTTTTTAAAAAAAATTCTATAACCGTAAAAAATTCGTCAAATACCACTAGAACTAGGGGTGGGCAAAACGAACTGAACTGAACTGAACTTATAAAAACTATACTGAACTTAAAAGTAGTTCATATGAACTGAACTAAACTACATATTAGTTCAGACGAACTGAACTGAACTATTTTTTTGTGTCATTGAACTGAACTGAACTATACTATAAAAACTTGAACTGAACTACAATTTAAACTGCACTAAACTATTACGATATTTTGAATTGAACAATTTTGACTCATTAATCTATCAAAATAGGACACATTTACCAACTTTACTTTATTTTCTATTTTATTTAAATTTTTCAAAGGAAAAAATATATAAAATTAAGTCAAACAAACTCAGTGAATTTTAAGCCTAAAAATAAATAGTTCAACATAGCTCAATTGATCCGTTAAGTTCGACAAAATTGATACAATTTTTTTTCAAATCACTTTTTTTTCTAAAGTTTTGGTTATTAGACTATCGAGCTAATCCATTAAGACATAACATGTTAAACACATTTAATTTTTATTCTTTTATAAAATAGTTCAATTTTTATAATTCAGTTCAGTTTTTATAGTTCAGTACAGTTCAACTTTACAACAGTTCAGTTCAGTTCAGTTTTTTTTTAAACAGTTCAGTTCAGTTTTTTTACAAATAGTTCAGTTTTTTATAGTACAGTTCACTACTAGTTCAGTTCAGTTTAATTTTTTTTGTCCACCCCTAACTAGAACATGCTTTAGTTTCGTCTTAATAATAAAGTATAGTTATGTTAAAGATCGATGCCATTTACGACTCGTGCAAGATCTCTTCTAGCAGGCACATCCTACTCGTATACCAAAAGTTCGACCAAATGACAAGAATACCACACAAAAAGAAACACTATTATTATGTTTTTAAACCAAATCGAAAGTACAATGCATGGACTGATATCAAGTACAACCAGTCCCAGATTATATCTTGAAGTATTTGTAACCATACTCCGGATTTGTCATCCCCTCTTCCCAATCACCCATGCGGCGACCCCCAAAAACAACTTGTTGGATTCCAAGATACCTGCTATTCAGAAAAAGGTCAATCACAATAGCTTTTCCAAAACAATTAACAAGACAAGCGTTTTAGGCCCAACTTACTCCGAGCTCAAGACAGTTAAGCAGTTGAGAAGCACATCAATTGCAAAATAATCTGACGTACCCAAGTCCACCCTGTAAGATATGTCTCAAAATGTGTTGTACAAATAGGAACCATAATCAAATCACATAAGTTCATATAACAGATTTTTTCCTCACATTTTTTATTTTCTTCATTCATCTTTTTTATCATGTACTTAGCTGCAATTTTCATGTATTTCAAATTTTAAATATTATAATTTTGATTTGTTTTACCTCACCAATACAGACCTATCTAATGGATTCCACCAATCATTAATCATTTTTTTAAAACACTTTTGAATCTCTACATCTATCTTCTAGTATGTAGAATTTTAAATTGAAATCCTTGCATGTATTATTCTTTCTTCATCTTAATGTTATAACTTCTTCGCCAACCTATAATTATTATTTTACCAACCCAAATCAATCTATATTTTCTACAGCTAGTTTTCAAGACTTCTCTTCCATCCACTTCATTTTCTTTTTGTCTCATTTTTTTTTCAGTTGAAAAATACTTCATCTCTTTCTTTACCATCTTTTGCTTTTCCTGTTTTACTCATCCTTTGCAAAAGTGTTGAACACCTACAACAAGATAATGCTGAAATAATGGAGAGAATAATCGAAAGGAATAGCTAGGGACCAAGTCATTACATATTCAGAAACATTTTGAATGTTTCTTCTGATCTCTCTTCTTCTAGTTCGTGTCTTGGCCTCAATCATGTAATCCAAATCAATCCTAAGAAAGTATCTTGGAGAATTAAGTCAACAGTAATTTATCTATTGCTTGTTTCACTAAAATTTGCTTTCTTATTTTGGTTCATTTCATGAGATATTCCACTTATGTTACTTTTTATTAGCTTTTGTTTGACATTACATCCATGTTAGCTTCAAAATCAGAGTTCTTATATATTTTTGTGATTTTTTCTAATGTGCTGTTTATTTAATTAATTCTGTTTACTACTTTAAGTTTTATTTACTTAAAACTGTGGAGAGCAACTAAAATTTGCTTGTTGTGATTAACCAAAATTAATAAAAGTTAAAAATATAGAAAATTTATGTAACAAATTTTGAATTTTATTTTAGCAACAAATTTAATACTTTTAATATTGAATTTTTATTGCATATGCTTATTTTAAAAAGCTTATTATAGTTTAATTTTATCTTTATAATTATATTTTTTAAACCTCATAGCATTGTGAGGTCATAAAACTATTTATTTTAGAGGAGGGTTCAAACGACACCGGTGTAACTTTTACTAAGTATTACACCTCTTAATAACTTTATATTAAATGTGAATTTTGTAAATCCAACCGTTAGATTGAAAGTTCTTTACTCTTAGATCATATATACAAAATTTTATATTAATCCAAGATAATTTGATACTTCATTCTTATAAAACAAAATTGACGTAATATATTTATTTCAAAATATACTAAAATATGAATACTTTGATTACCCTTAAATTGTTCAATTTTAACAAAATTTGATATACACATATAAAGTTATATGAATTTTCAATCTAACGGTTGGATTTATAAAATTCACATTTAATATAAAGTTATTGAGCAGTGTAACACTTAGTAAAAGTTACACTGGTGTCGTTTGAAGCCTCCTCTTTATTTTATTTTATTTTCAAATACAAAGTTGAGTTGTAGAACTAATACCAAACACGTCCCCAGTTATCCTGGAACTCAATATCACTGATATCATGGAAAGAAGACGGCATCACTTTGAAACCCTTGTCTGCATCATATAGAGGATCATACTCCATTGATGAATTTGCCAGCTATCATCAATTCAAGATACTTTAGTCCAGTGCTTGTTACAAGTTAGCGGCAAAAGTAGGAAACTAGAAATAAATGACAACGTTATGAATCAGCTAATGTGCACATATCATGGCCATAGCATCTTACAGTAAGCTAAAATTGACAATATTTCCAAGCTAATACTCTTTCAAATGTGACTCCTTTACTAGTAGCTTAAATTTATGGTAAATCACAAAATTATGTAGATGTTACTCCAAGTTTAATGAGTTCATTTGTGATTTTTTAGATTCCAACTTTCCAACAGATTCAACCAATAGTTGAAAGTGCATTATGGAATGTATTACTAATACTCCTCAATATTTACTCCTACCTATTTCCAAAACATACAAAGAAAATTATCCTAAAATTTATTATATATGAGGAACAGATATTATGTTTGTATTGACATTTGCATTCGGCAATGTATTACTAGATTTCTTACCTTTTGCAATTGCTTCTCCTAGGCCATAACCCCCATGTGAACCCATGTACCCTCCCTACATGTCCATTTAGATGTCCTCCTAGGAAAACCTTTTCTCCTAATATTGTTCCCTGGACTAAAGCTTCTAAGTCCTTCCAAAATCTTATTTTGTGCTTTCTAATCCTAGTGAGGTGCATACCGCACCAATCACATAAAAAGTTTTCCCTTCCACTGCAAACATTACAGCTGGGATCCTATCTCCTAACCTTTTTACATTCACAACCTCCCTTTTCAATACTAATCTCAATCATACCCACTCCATTTCTATTTTAACAGGGCAACACAACTCAAAATCCAAGGTGTCTAATTCCTTTGCCTATTTCCATTGATTTTACTTGTAAGTTGTAAATGTGCTTAACTTTCATGTTCCAAAACAATCCTCCTCCTGTGAACTAACTTTTTTGCCCATACTCAATCACAAAAGAAGTGGGAACCCTTGCTTACTTTTTCACTACATCCGGGCAGTTATGCAGTGATTCTTTTGCTTGACATTGTACTAGAGCCATTAGCCATACAATGTGTTGCTTCCAAGCAACAACCTAACATTAACGCTCACCCGTTCATTCATGTCATAGAGATTTGACATTTGACAAAGTTTTACATTGGTTATGGTCTAACACAACCCTCACCTTTTTTATTTTGGGACCATCAGTGAGAAGATTTGCAAGAAAGCACATCATGGCACCAGAGACAACTTAAAAGTTTCGCTGGAAAAGTGGGAAATATGGTCACTGGCTAGCAGAGCTGACAGGAATTATGCATACCCAAAGAGTGGACACAATTAAAAAGATTTGTTGTAGTAAGAAACGCATTGGTACAAACAGTCACTGCCAGGGATCACCTATGGAAATTCTTCAAATTCATCGACAATAACATTTGAAAGATTCAATCAATATTACCCTAAAGTTTGAACATATGAGGCCTAAGATGCTTGGGAAATATGCCTAGAATATGAAATGAATGCATCGCATAATGGCTTGCCGACAGACTAGAAAACAGCAAAACACAGGCAATCAGATAAAAACAATTCAAATAGGGAAGCAGAGATAAATGCATTAAAATATAATAACCTCACAAAAGAACAAGCTAATTCAAGGCAAAGACAAAAAAACTAAAGCAAGAATAGAACAAGCTAGAGCAGAGAATAGTGCCAAACTGGGTTGAAAATACAGTAAAGCATGCACGAGTAGAATCAAACAGTGGTGACTTAGAACTAGCTGATGATGTGTCGGAAGATTTTTGCAAAAAATGAGAAAAAGAATTTTTTTCTGAATGTGCTCGAGTTTTACCACTCAACTGAATGATTTATTTATATTCATTTGTATTACAAAGATAATCAAAATCAATTCAATGCCAACTGCAATTCACAAGTAATTAGGTTATCTCTACTCCCTAATATGCTTTAAACCTAGCTATACAACGTATCTAGGCTACTTGGAATCAGAAACAACATTTAAATGTTCTTATTTTCTAAAAAAACACTTCTATTTCCAACAAGTTTTCGGCGACAGTCCTCCACCTCGTAGCTAATTCACACCTCACAATCGCTGGATGTGATGGTGATTGGTGATATCCCTTTTTTTGTTGGGGGGGTGGAAGTAACTAAATGTTGGTGAAAAATGAATTGTTGGAAACAAAACTGTAAGATTCAAAGGAAAAAAGGGAACAAACAGGCTTGGGCTTGGTTGACAAGGTCAAATTGGAAAATTACGGGAGAAAACTAGGCTGAGGCGTAACCCATGCTCTCACATGTGCCAATCAAGGTGCAACACCTACAGAAACTTCTGGCAGCATAAGGTGGTATGCGTAGCAAGGTAAAGGACATTGTTCTACTTATGGACTGATTGAAGGGAGGAGAATCTCCTGGTGCAGGCACACACTTAAGTGAGAGCTTGGACAGCACGTCCCCGAGCATGGCAACCATGGCCAAGGTTAGTGCATATCTTGTGGGGTTCAAATAGTGTCAAAAGAGAGATACAATGAGGAGAAGACAGTAGACAAAAACAAAACTGAGTTCTATATTTTTTAGAACATAGCACAGTGGACACAGGTCCTGGTGGATGGTTCCAGACTTCAATACTAAGTTGAAAGTATGGGAGAAGAATGTAGAATGAGAGAATAGATAGTTTCAGAATATTATAAGACCCATGTATTGATTGTATGATTTCACTATAACCAACATATCTGTAAATCTAACATGTGTCATTGACGGATTAGACACCAAAAGAAAATCGAAGAAGTAGCAATTGAAAGAGAGAGAATAACAACCATGAAATAAATAAACTAAAGGAGAAGAGAAGAACATGGCCTGACCTGCAAATTTGAAGAATTGAAAGCACCAAGGCGACCCATGACATACCATGATTGAATAACCTGCATATTTTACATGCATAAAAGAAAAATATTTTATGATATTAAAAGCTAAAAATGTAAATTAAACACTTACATTACCAATTAGATTGACATCGCGATCTGATGGTGGTCCAAACAACTCAAACCAGATATATGAATCAAGTGGATTGAAACTGCAAGAGGATGGAGGAATGAAGAGTTAATGATGGCTGATGAAGGAGTAGAAAAAGATGTTTGTTGTTGACAATGAAGTGAATCCATAGCATTTGCACTAGTGATTACTCTCTAAAGGTGACTTTGTAAGCGAGGACGGATCCTGTTTTAGACTTTTGAAAGTCTCTACCCTTCTTTCGAACCCTATCTTCGACCTGCAGGCAGGAAGGATAAGCGAAAGAGGAAATGTGATTTAGAATAGGAATAGAAATATAGGTACCCGTTTCCTCATGAGTTCAGGGTTGCCAATACTGTCTCCGAGTACGGCACGGAGTTCAGCGTCGTCTTTGCAAGCATTTTCCAGGACTCTGAAAGCATTCGGTTATTATTAGTTACTAGTTATGAAAAGAGAAGCTCGCATGCAGTTTGGATTTGGAGGTGTTACTTTGCCCAAGCAGGGTAGTTGTTAAGACGATCGTACTCCCGCTGTTGTTTCTCTTCACGAATCCTGAGCAACCTCCGACCTCTCGCGGTAGTTCCTGACCCTTTGATGTTTTCTTCTCTTCTTCCGCTGCTACTGCTGGCGTGGGAAACAGAAACAATCACAGGCCTAGGTCTTGTTTTCGCAGTTGAGGAAGACAACCAACAGCCCAAGCCCGTGGATTTCGCCTCCGCCCACTGCCAACGGCAACAACATCCATACGCCATCCCTCTTTCACGCCTTCTGCTTCTGCCTATATCTATTCCATCTTATCCTTCTATTCTTTTAATTGCCATTAATAACTTTTCACTCTAATCCTAGACTATATAAGAGTTTACAATGATCGTGATTGCTTTTCTTTATATTTTAAGTAATTTTTTTATATTGTACATGATTCTATAATTTCTTTAAACGATTCTCACATCTTTTTTAGTGATACACACTACACAGTGCTATTATATGCCTATATCTTTTATATGTCATTTTTTTTTATATTATGTAATAAGAGTCAGTTATCAGTTTAAAATGTAGAAATATCAATATAATATGTTTTGAACAACTAAAGAAGGTTATTGGACTCGTACAAAAAAAAAAGGTTATTGGAAAATTTTCACAAAATCTTAAAAAATGTGAGTGTAATTTACTTTTTGAAAATAACGTCAACAGGTCTTATTGGTGAAAACTCATAAAAAACAAGTTTTAATTTCTCAGAACTCTAAAGAACCCACTTTTGAAAGTATAACAAATTAGAAAAATGTGCGTTTAGGAGGAGATATATGAAGTGGAAACGAAATGGAAGCGTAATGTGGGTTTTTTTTATTGATGGCTTACCTCCAGCTTACAAACAGAATGAATGGACAGACTCAAGTCAAAACTCATCCTCCTTCCCTCCCCGTGGGAATTCACCACCAAAATCTTTATCATGCCAGAATTTATCTAAAGATACGATGTAGATGTGAATTATTTGGATTTTCGAGACAAAACATATTGGTAAAACTCTTCATTATTCACACAAGACCCATTAATTCTAACAAGAAAAGCTTTTCATCCGAACTATCCTTGCCATCCTTGCTTTCAATACATATTTGCCCTCACAAACCAACAAAATGTTTAAGAGGATAACAAAACAAGGTTATCCGCCAAACTAAACATATTTTAAAATGCAAGAATACTGATTATTTCCATGATAATCTCATTTATAAGTACTCCGCAATATTAACAGAATACCAAAACCAACTCGATCTAAGGCTAGTTAACTAAATCCTCCATTTCACGAAATGGATAAACAGCACTTAGTTTCAGAAATAAAAGCCAAAACATAACCCTGCACCAGTTGGTGCCACGCAGGTGAATTAACACATTCAGCATATCTTGCATTATTTCACTATGCAGATCTTTATGACAGAGGCAGCTCCAATACGATGCAGGGCAACAACTGCATCACCAGGCGTACAAAGCCCCTTTTCTGTTGCGGACTTAAGAGCAGCTTCCAGAATCACCTCTGTGGATTCTGCATCAGTAGCTTTCGCAGATCCCTCGCCCAATATTGGAATCAAGCCCCTGTATATTAAGCTGTGCCTTGCTGGTGTCTCATCACTGCAGGTCCAATCAAACGAGTCTGTGGTCAAAACTGGAACCACCACTGACAAGATAGGAACCGCTGGCCTATACTTAGCAACCAACTTGGCTGTAGACCCACCACGTGTCAGCACAACAATGAGTTTTGCCTTAGCCTTGTTAGCTGTGCGGACAGCAGATGATGCAAGACTTTCCAATGGACTCATTGGCAAAGGGGTAGACCTTATCATCTCTTTGAAGATAGCACCATAGTCAAGGGATGATTCTGCTTCAATACAAATACGAGCCATGATTTTCACAGCAAGTTCAGGGTAAGCCCCAGCAGCACTTTCACCACTAAGCATGACACAATCTGTTCCATCAAGAACTGCATTAGCTACATCAGTAGCTTCAGCTCGGGTTGGCCTTGGAGACTTGATCATCGATTCAAGCATTTGGGTAGCAGTGACCACAGGCTTCCCAACAAGATTACACTTGTATATCATCATTTTCTGTGCCAGAAAAATCTTTTCAACTGGGATTTCCATTCCGAGATCACCACGTGCCACCATGAATGCATCAGTCTCACGCAGGATTTCATCAAAATTCAGGACTCCCTCCTGGTTCTCAACCTTGAAATGCCATAGAATCATTAAAATATAAATCAGGATTTCCAAATAGAAAGAGAAGAACTGGTAAAAGAAAATATTCAGCATATGGTAAGTGAATAAATAAATAAATATTCCTTCGTATATAATATAAACAAGCAAGCAACTTGTGTTAAAGAAAGGAAAGAAGAAAATCATTCAACTTGATGATGTACAGAAGATATCAAGCTAGACTGCAACACAACCACATAATATTCTCTTTCTTTTTATCCCTGTGATGGATACTATTGGATGCCATGGAGGCTAAAAGCATAAGTTAACCACTTAGTAGTCCGAGTTATAGAAGATAAACAAAGTTTATTATTGCGGAAATTGCATAAGAATGAAATAAAAATACCTTTGACATCAACTGAATATTCTTTGCATGATGCCCCAGAACCTTCCGGACATTAACAAGATCTGAGCCTTTACGAACAAATGAAAGGGCAATCATGTCAATGTTGTTAGGGACACCCCATTCAAGAATATCTTCCTTATCCTTCTCAGTAAGTGTGGGAAGATCCACCACAACACCGGGAAGATTAACATTTTTTCTCTCACCCAACATTGCAGTGTTTTCACAACGACATCTAACAGTACCAGCTTCGGGATCACAAGATAAGACAGTGAGAGTAATTGTACCATCGGAGCACAGTATGACATTGCCAGGCTTCAAGTGGACAGGCAGTTTCTTGTAACTCATTGATATCATCTCTGGATCCCCCTTAATTTCATAATCAGTAGTGATGGTGATTTCTTGTCCTTCTTTAAGTTGAATAGGTTTTCCATCTTTCAGAAAACCAGTCCGAATCTCAGGTCCCTGCACAAACACATACATCATAATGCAAATGTACACAGATACGTTAATAATTTATTGAATAAGAATTGATCACCATAAGATAAATAAAATAGTACAATGACGTGAACAAGATATCCTCCTCGACAAGACATTTATGAAATAAATAAATAAGCATCAAGCTGTCCACTAATGTTTAACCGTTGTTTATGAAGACCCCAAAACTCCAAAAACAAACCATGAAACTCCCACAATCCAGAATTAAATGTAAAACTAAAACCATATACTGGTGTCATGATAAGATAATTTAACACCAACTAAATACAAAAGACTTGTAAGAAAATCCATTCAAGTAGGCCAAAAGCACTTTGAACTTGTGTCTACAAGGCTACAAGCTAAATAGCCATATGTCCCTATATATGAAAACAACACATCAGAAATATTTAAAAAATAAATAAATAAGAATGTGGACCAATATCATGCTCGTTACTTACCACCATTCTATCACCAAAATAATTGCTCACACATTGATCACTTAAAAAAATAAACAGAGTAAGCATAGCATCTAGACATGGGAGAATCCTGTCCTCATGTATAGTAAAAGTGGCCAGTTTATGTATAATACATGTTATATGTTTCGTAATGTTAGGGAGAATTTTTGCAAACTTGATTATGAATGCTTTTGATATAACAAAAATGATTTTGGTTAAAATTGATTTGGACGTGAAGTAATTTTTGGCTGAAAACTTTTTATCTGAAATGCATATTTGTAGTGAAAGTTAGTACACAATTCTCAACCTAATACAAAAGCTATAATTTTTCGCTTTTAATCTAATGCGCCGAAAAACAATCAAACTAACCACATTTCTTAGGCAATTTAAAGCTATAAATTTGATATGAAACATCCAATTCCAAATATCTTATTTTTCTTCAGAATCACATATCTTCGTTCAAACTTGATTTTAAAAACCCAGGCATTTTTCCATCCAAGCTATAAAATTATTGAGCTCTGAGATATCCCCAAATGCAGGATAATGTACTTCGCCAATGAACAATGGATGTATCACTGGCATAGTTCTATTCCTTACTCAAAGGATATAGGACCTTGTGGGTAAAATTCTTCTGAAGCAATTTTGGGAGAGAAAATTAGGAAAGAATAATGAAATAAGTTCTTTCATAAGCTAAAACTAAGTTATGTATAAATTAATTTACAGAAGTTTTATCTTATTCATTTCTCAAAAATCATGGAGACTTTTCTTCCTATTTTATCCCTCCTAGAAGTGCTTGTGGCTCCGAACCAATAGTTAAATAGCTTTCATAGGGTTAAAACATGTTTGGATACAAATTTAGAAGTAATTTTGAAATAATCAATACTGAAAAGTAGACTTTATTTTCAGTAGAGAAGCTCTAACATGGGTTCTAAAACGTATCTATACAGCTCTTAGTCAGTTTAGCAGATCCAGAATAGAAAAAATAAAACGAATATTTTAGTACTAGCATGCGAGAGAGTTGAGAGTTGGTTGATCTTATGGTGCAATTAAATGAAGATATATATGAAGAATTGACCTTAGTGTCGAGCATGACGGCACAGAGTATTCCAGTGTTGTGCATAGCAGTCTTGAGATTGTTGAGGGTTTCCTGATGATACTCGTGGGTGCCATGAGAGAAATTGAAACGAGCAACGTTCATCCCCGCCCTCAGAAGCTTCTCAATCATTTCCACGGATCGAGATGCAGGACCCAAAGTACACACAATCTTGGTCTTCGGAACACGCCCGTCATTCGGTAACTGCTTCAAGATCCCTTCGATGTCTATGTTCGCCATTCAAACTCAAATAGATCCTTCACACTTCTCTCTACACAAATAAATATATAAATAAGTAAGCCAAGTGCAAAGAGCAATGAATATGTATGTATGCAACCAAAAGCCTTTGAAAGAGCAGAGGAAAAGAAACCTTGATTGGGACGACACCAACACAACTAACTCCTTTACAAGGGTTAGGTTAAGAGGGGTTACAATGTTATATATTTACCACAGGTTCCGTACCTTGGACACTGTGCGTGCTGTGCTGGGTTCGGATCTGAGGTTTTTTGCGCTTACAAACGGCACGAAACACGCGTGGAATTTTTATTTTTGGTTGAATCTAAAAGTCGCCACGAGTGTGCCTCTCACACCGGTCATTCCCACAGACTTGAAAAGGAAAAGTAGCTTACAGAATATTACATTTCCCGTCGCATAATCCTTCACCGTTTTATAAATAATCAATATTCCTAATTAGAGTACCCTTACTTTAAGATATTACTAAGAAAAAGAGGAATTCCCTACCTCTAAAAAATTTTTAAAATAAAATATTATAATGTAAATAGTTATTTAGAGCTGGTTAATAATGATTATTAAAATTATTCTTTTATAATAATTAAATATATAATTGTCTATAAATTATAGAGATAAAAAATATTACAGGAACAAGTACATTAGACATGTATTAATAATTATGATAATTTTAATAAATTTGTTTCTTTCTATCATTCAATGTTTACCCTAAATAATATAAGAATATGTAAAGGTGACTTTTGTTATTAGCAAGAAATAGTATTACCGTTTCATGCGTCCTTCCGCTTTCAAATCCGAAGCCCAACACTGTGGGCTCGGGCCCACTGACTTGGACTCTGCAGATTAGACGCCCACGTCTCCTTCAGTGTGCGCCCCACGGTTTTGAGGGTGAGTTTCGACTCTCGAGAATGGTATTCTAGAAGCAACTTCTACTTTGGTCCTAAACAATAATTACTTTAAGCAATTTCTACTACTTAGTTATTCTTTATTATATTATTTTTCTATTTTAACCATTTCCCTTCATTATTATGCTCTTAATCGGACACAGTACATAGGAGTACTTATTTTACCAACTTATTTATTTGTGGGAAATGAAAACTCTATATTAGCATCAAAAGCAAATCGCCTATATACATTCCCGATAAAGTTTGGGGAAGACTACGATAGATAGGAAACCAACAGGTATGGTAACGGGCAGCTCTTACTAAAAAAAAAAAAAATACAAATATTTATATATAACTATTATTAATTTTGGTTTATATATATAATTTTTTAATTATATTATTAAACTTCAAGTACCGATATTAATATTCCTGTCTTTGTTTTGCTCTCGATTTTATTAATCAAAAAAAATTTGAACCCAAATTTAATAAACACGAATTTTTCTCGTCTAAAGATTGTTATATCTAGAAACAAAATAAAAGAGTAAGTAGAAGTTAAAAAATGTGAGTTATTTGATAATAAAAAATTGAAGAAAAGTGTGAGAATATTTTTATAAGATTCCCTCAAAAAACTTTTCCTTTATAACGGAGGGAAGTGTGGAAAAGTTAATAAAATAAAAATAAATAAATAAATAATAATAATAAATATAATTTTTATTTATTATATTTGAAATAAAGAGATGATTATATCATATATATATATATATAATAAAGTAAAAATAATAATAATAATAATTAAAAAAACAATTTTCATTTATATTTTAAAAGAAAAATATTTATGAATATTATATTAATTCATTAAAACAATATAATTATAATAAAAATATTTATTATATTTAAATAAAATTATTTATACAAATATATTTTTATTTAAATAATAATAATAATCTATTTATTTATTTTAAACAAAATTATCTATAAAAATAATCAACTTTCACTCTATTTTCATTTTATTTTTTTCTTATCAAACAACTCTGATTTTTACTCTATTTCTCAATACTTCTTTTATATACTTTTTTTATCAAACATAGTGTAAGTGATAAAATGAGGAAGGGTTAACACGTTACATATTTTTTTTATTTCATTGGTCAAAAAAGGGCAAAGGCAGGTGGATCTGTAATGTAATAATAAAATGAGTTAAAGATTTCAACTCATCGTGTTTGACGGTGGATTGGTCTAAAACATGAGTGGATTGGTCTAAAACATATGAATTAACAAATTGACCTAATAAAAATACATTACTAATTACTAAAAGGCAAAAAAAAAATAGAAAATAGGTCATGCACAAAGTCTAAAATAAATTTATATTATAATATTAAAATTTACTTACTTCCTTTATAAGAAATAATTTAACTTCATACAAAAAAAAATTATGAAACATATTAATCAAAAATTAAAAACTAATTTATCAAATATATTATCATTTATATGGGATTTTGTTCGGAGAAATGGAAGAAGGAGAGGCAATTTTTTTTATTTATAATTTTTGGTTACATGAAGTTAATGAAGAAAAAAATAAAAAAAAAATATAAGAAATTACAATCGAAAGAATCTAACACCCATTTAACGAGACTTTTAAGTGACATAGGTACATAAGTGACTATTTAACGAGACTTTACTGAGTTCGAACTTATATTGGATAAGAAATTTACACACATTCTCTTCCCGTAAAGAATGTAAAAACTCCATTTTCCAACCTTTTTGTCTCATCTCCACAATAGCATATATAATAGTGTATTATCTATAAAATAGATCAAAATCCTCATTAATGAGTGACAAAGCATGTAAGGAATCTGAGATACAAATGATATTCTTATATCTTCTGTCCCAAGCCACACTTAATCCATTAAGGATAGCAACATGATGCCAATCTGCAGAACATGCGTGCCAAGCACGAAACCGACCTAGCTGCAATGCGGACCGCTAATAAAACTGATCTAGCAGCGCTACGCACGGAAAACGAGCGGATTCGCGCCCAGCTCGCCCGGCGACACTCTAATCGTCCTCCTCGAACGAGCAACAACAATGAGGAGGAGGAGCACTCAGTCTCTCAACCTCGGACCGCAACTAGGGCACCGACCCAACGACCTGCCATGCATCGGTCTCATGCACTGACGCACAAGTTGGCCCATGAAGTCAGCAAGGCCCCTACTCATGTCCCAGGGGATCAGGCAACCTTCCGCCGCCACCCTTTTGTGGACGGCATCATGGAGACACCACTCCCTCATCGGTGGAAGCCTCTCCACCTCGATCGCTATGATGGCACGACGGAACCAGATGAGTACATCGACCTGTACACGACGTAGGTAAACCTCTACACTAACAATGACGCTATCTTGTGTAGGGTTTTTCCAACCTCGCTCAAGGGGACCGCGCTCAACTGGTATACCCAACTGCTTGCCAAGTCCATTGATAGTTTCGGCACCCTAGTCAGAAGGTTCACAACGCAGTATGCGACGAGCCGACCTCACCATGTCACTTCAGCCACCCTGGCCAATCTCAGGCAAAACGATGACGAACCACTCTGGGCATTCATGGAGCGATTTGTCGCCACCTCGGTTAAGATCAGAAATTTGAACCCCGAGGTCGCCCTATATGCCATGCTTATGGCACTCAAGCCCGGGCCATTCGTCGACAGCCTATGTCGTGAGTCTCCCCGCGACATGGATGAGCTTCGCGCCCGCGCTGCAGGCTACATCCAGATGGAAGAACACTCCACTTTCCGTGATCAAATTTGCGGAAAAGGACCAGCGAAGACAGAGCAAGGTCACAAAGATAAGGTTAAGGTCAACAATGACAGCCAGTTCAAAAAATCGGCCGGAGCAAACAGAGGGGAGAGATATGACTTCCACACTCCCCTGAACACATCCAAAATCCGCATTCTGGAAGAGGCCAGTAACAGCAACCTGCTCACCCTGCCACCGCCAAGCCACACTCCCAACAGTGCGGACAAGTCCAAACACTGTCGGTACCACAAGAATCACGGCCACACCACTAAGGAGTGTTGTACACTCTGAGACCGCATTGAAGAACTCATCCAATCAGGCCACTTCGGCCATTATATCCAACAAAGTCACCAGGGAAGCTATGGTGGACGAGGACGAGACAGAGGTCATGGTTCGGGAGCTCGCACGGACCAATCCTCTGGCTCTCAACGCAGCCCCGGTGGAACAGTGCAAGCCAAGGTAAGCTAGGAAACAGGGCCAGCTCCCCTACGGGGAGTAATCAATACAATTGCAGGTGGTTTCGCCGGAGGGGGCGCCAGCAGCTCGGCCCGCAAAAGACACCTGCGCAAATCAACTGCATACACCCTACCACCTCAGCTTCGCACCAACACTCACCGACGATTACTTTCACCGACAACAACTATGCCGGGGTCAATCCCAACCAGGATGATCCCATGGTTATAGCCGTGGAGTTAGCCAATTGGGAGGTTCACAAGACACTGATCGACCAAGGGAGCTCGGCCGACGTCCTGTATTGGCCAACGTTCCTCAGATTAGATGTCCCCCACTCCCTCATACAACCTCACACAAAGCCCCTAGTCGGTTTTGCAGGAAAGAGAGTTCACACTCGGGGGTACGTGGACCTACTGAAAACTTTTGGAAGACCTCTGGACACAAGGAGGGTCATGGTTCGGTACCTCCTCGTGGAAGCCAATACTTCCTACAACATAATCATCGGGAGGCCGACCTTGAATAAACTCGGAGCAATAGTGTCCACCCCACACCTCACCATGAAATTCCCTGGGAATAACGGGAAGATTATCTCTGTCAAGGCGAACCAGAAGACGGCACGACAATGCTACAACGAAAGCCTGAAGATCGCCTCACCTGGTGAAAAATGCAAGAGTGACCCCCCCACCGTGGCTCACGGCACCCACGTGGAAATCACCAATCTCGATCCGAGATCAGACTCTCATGACGAGAGGCCAAGCCCCATTGACGAGCTTGACGACCTCCAAATCGGAAAACTTCTCGGACAAAACACAAAGATCAGCAGGCAGTTAAGCCCGAACTTGCGGCAACAGCTCGAAGCTGAAATTCTCCAGAATGCCGACCTCTTTACCTGGTCCAGCGTTGACATGCTGGGCATCGACGCTGACTTCATATGTCATAAGTTAGCAATACACAATGAGGCAAAACCAGTCGCCCAGAGGAAGAGGAAGGTCGGCGGCGAAAGGCGGGAGGCCATCATCACCGAAACACAGAAATTGCTGAATGTTGGCTTCATCCATGAGGTCAGGTACACCACATGGCTGGCGAACGTGGTCCTGGTAAAGAAGAGCTCGGGAAAGTGGCGCATGTGCGTCGACTACACCGACTTGAACAAAGCATGCCACAAGGACTCATACCCCTTGCCGAGCATTGACAGGTTGGTCGACGGAGCCTCCGGACGCGCCCTCCTCAGTTTC